CAACAAAGTGACCTCCTAAGAATCAAAACTGGTATAGAAAAGGAAAAAGTTTCATCACATGGGAATTCGAAGATCATAGTCAAAATAAAATGGTCGAAAAGGTAGAAAAAAAACCCAATATGACATGTATCAAGTATCTAAGAGATTGGGCAAAAACTGAGGGATGGAATCTCTGGACAAAAGAAGACAACTAAGTATGCACAATGCCTTAAAATAAAACATTTGTAAAGAAAGTCTGAAAATAAAGAGGCTAGAGAGGAAAAGGGCATAAAAACACAATGGGTCACCGAGAGTTACTGTGTTAACACAAAACCTGCTTTATTTCCATGTGCTATGTTTTTTTCCCATAAGACGTTTGTATTTTGAGCTTTCACGTATCACAACTAGTTATTTGTTGGTTCTACTGAAAGGCTGCCCTGGGAATATTTTGGTGTATTAGGAAACGCTGAATCAGCAAAAATATTCGGGATGCGGATCTGGAAACTCACATAAACACGGATTTGGCAAGATTGATTTTCTCCTCGGCACTAACTGCAGTATACCTAATTTGGAAGTAGGAAGAATCCTGTTTCAAGTGAAATACATGCTGATAAATTCTGTCTGGAAACACGACCTAATCAATACATGTTACTACCATAATTGTATCCAGCTGTAGACTAAGGTATAATTGTATTTTGTTACATGCTAAATACACAGTTACATTTAGGGAAATTTGGTTAAAATAATCTCCTGGATTATTTTTATGAGATTAGCGGTTTTTCTTTCTTTTTTTTATGAAAATATATTGACTTCATAAAATTACAATTTGTAGCAATCCAATAGTTAAATAAATGAAATTAAATTACTCTTTCCTTTCAAGGCACTTTTTGTATTAGATAATATATTTTGGAAACATTTTTTCCATGTACATAACACAGGACTGTAACATACAATCACACTCATACACATAAATCATGTCGATTGAAAAGTGACTTCATCATCGTCATCCCTTGGAAACAATATTTATAGTTATTTATCTGTAAATATATTTTTTTATTCTTTAATTTGTTTATTTTGTAGAAAATATGTAGTTTGTATTATTGTAAGTTTAAGTTTTCATTTTCAATGTACTTGAACTACTTTCTAATTAAGATAAATCATTGTAGGCCTACATGTCGACACTTTTAAGAAGATATGGATAAGATAGGTGTAAAAAAAACTCTGATCAATAGAAATTTGAGCTATCTTTAGATGTCAAGAACAATTTGACATATTTGAACAAAATCCGTAGCAGATGTAAGGTAACCATCAGCTAATCAAGTCCCCTTGGTCATCCAATAGAATAAAAGTGTTTGACAATGATCTGGCTTCCCGACAAACCAGATTGTACAGGTATCGTACATGTGTTGAATTCAGCGCCAAGGGGCCTCCGAGAGGGCATTGACAGAATAAAGATGTTTCCTGTTAAATTTCCCTTACTAGAACCCCGCGTGGATAATAGGACAGGGGAATTAGGTTTGGGTCGCGTGGGCTAGAGTCATTTTACACCCTGACCAAGAATGAAGATCTGTTCACTACAGGTTCTGATTCCTCGACTTACATGTACGTCTCTATTCGGATAGTGAACGCCAAGTAAAGAAGAGACCAAGAGAGTTAAAGGTCAATCTGTGTCGTCCCGGGAACTTAACATACAGAAACTGTACAATATTTACCAGACATGAAATACATAATGTATCTGTATGAAAACCTAAAATTAAGGTGTATCTCAATGTGTGTATATTTTTCACTATGTTTCTTCAATATGACAGAGAACCGAAATACATATATACACTGTATACAAGGAGAAAGTTCGCGATGTGAAAGGAGAGTTCATCAAGAATACAGAAATATTACATGTATGTAAACATGATAATGAAGAATCTTTAATATTCGAGGATATACTGTTCTACACAGTTTATCTACAGGTTCCTGTGAGAATAAATCATTAGTCTTTTACCAGCGTAACAAGAATATTGAAAGCAATCCTTCGGCATCATTGCGATAACAATGAACTAGTTATCATCAACCATCAGTCAGTACCAGAATGTCACACACACAATAATGATACAAGACCTTATAACATAACGATCATATGGAACCTGATTCACAACAACGGCATAAACAACAGTGATAGAAAGAGCAAATAGTACGCGACAGCATCAACAGTGCCAGAATCTACGGTAGTAACAACAGGACCTGAAACTCCAAAACAGCAGCAGAAACAACGGAACCATATAATCCAAAACAGCGGCAGCACCAGGACCTGAAACTCCAAAACAACAGAAGAAACAACAGTATCTGAATCTCAAAAACAGCAGCAGAAACAACAGGACCTGAATTTCCAAAACAACAGAAGGAACGACAGTATTTGAATATCAAAAACAGCAGCAGAAACAACAGGAACTGAAATTCCAAAATAACAGAAGAAACAACAGGACCTGATAATCAAAACAGAAGCAACAACAACAAGGCTTGAATCTCCAAAAAAGCAGCAGAAACTACGGGACCCGATAATCCAAAGCAGCGGCAGCAATAACAGGGCTTGAATCTCCAAAATAGCAGAAAAACAACAGCACCTGAATCTCCAAAACAGCGGCAACAACATGCCCTAAAACTGAAAAACAACGGCAGAAACAACAGGACATGATAATCAAAAACAGCAACAGAAACCACATAGCCTTATAATCCAAAACAGCGGCAGAATCAACAGGAACTGAAACTAAAAACCGGAAGCAGAAAAAAACAGGATCTGATTATCCAAAACAGCGGCAGCAACATCAATTTCAAAAACGATTGAAACATCGCATGGGACAGGAAATTCAAAACGAGTGTTAGAAACAAAAGTGCTAGAATGGTCAAGTATTGTCAGCAATAATATGACCAGAATAGCCTAAAAATGGCAGCAAAAACCAAAATAAGGCTAAGAGACAACAAAATTATGGGAAAAGACGAAAATAGTGGCAGCAACAAGTGCTAAAATGGCCAAAACAGGATACCTAACTCTAACATTTGCAGTTTGCAAAAACAACGCAGCAACAGGGTCTGAAATGAACATAGTAGTGTCGGCAACGTCAGGGTGTGTAATGTCACAACAGTGGCAGTATCTGCCCTAAAAAGAGACGAGAATGGGCCAAAAATGGCGGCAACGTCAGGGTGTGAAATGTCACAACAGTGGCAGTATCTGCCCTAAAAAGAGACGAGAATGGACAAAATCAGTTTATTATAGAAAGACAAAACAATGACAGCAACAACAGGGTCGGGAGAGTTTGTAGAAGTGACTATGTAGCTGTTTTCACAGCGAGAGAACTAGTTGTAAATAAATCGAATATCATTACTTACCTTTGGTATGTCAGTATGAGCTATCTTGTTCACATACAGCTACAGACTTGTCTGAACATTTGACGCGAAATGTCGGCTTTCCTCCTCTCCATAAAATGTAGTCAACTACATCTACATTAAGCCTGGTTACCAGAATCGCATGGTCCCCGAATATCAGGTATAAATAAAATGAGCATGCACACGCGCGTATCAAAATATACTTTGTCAAATTTCAATACATATAGGTGCTGTGTAGAGCATCACCCAGAGAAACGCCGTGCACACATTGCACATTGGCCTATCATTTGTGTGGGAACGCGAGCTAACACAGACAGCAGAGAAGCATCGACCTTTTCCAAAAAGGACATTGCGTTACTGGTATTAAACCCTACCTTGCCTCCCCATCCCTTTCCAGGTTTATTAAAGGCTATGATTTGATAACGATTTTTCATATTTTCATACCATCGTTGTATTTATCAAATACCCTGATTTAGTTTAAGAAAATTTACAACGTCATCGCCTACTGTCAACACTGGACAGGGGTTAAGTGTCATATCTCATGGCAAGGCGATATCTGAGGCTAATTCAATATGCGTAGAACCTTATAAACAAGAGGCACATGGGCCTAAAAGGTCATCTGACTATAAAGACATATATATGAGAGGCTCAATGATTTTGAATTGTTACCTATTCAACAGCTTACACAGAAGAGTTTGTCGACTCAAGAAGTCAATACCTATTAAATCTGACCAATTCCTTAAGCACAATGTTGCACAATGCCACAATTCTGAACTTATTGCTGTTGAAAGAACAATTTTCTCTACACATTTAATACAACACCCCTCCCCCTCTCCACCCCCACCCCTCACCCCCGTGTGATCTTCAAAGAGGGGCAAATACTACAATCATTTGAATAAATTTGATTGCCCTTCATCCTAATATGACAGAAAACTAATATCAGTAGCTTTGATATTTGGTTATTGAGAAGTCGTTTGAAATTTCGATATGTGGATCAAGGTCATTCATTTGAACAAACGTGGTAGCTTTTAATTTCAGCAAACTACAGGCCTAATATCAACACCCTGGGCCTCTTGGTTATTGAGATGAAGTTGCTTGAAGACTGAAAAATTTTGACTCCTGTGACATTGCAAGTGGGTCAAGGTCATTCATTCGAACAAATTAGTAACTCTTGATCCCAGCATGCTACAGGCCCAGTATCACCACCCTGACATTTGGTTATTGAGAAAAAGGTATTTGAATGGGAAGTTTATGCATGGCACACGAGTGGATGAAATCCTGTGGCTATAAGTCATCCAGACCCTTTTGGTCAGATGACCTCAAAATAACTGTATTAAATAGACTATTTATCAGAAATGAAATTTGGGGTGGGCGGGTGGCGTAGTGGTAATGCATTCATCTTTTACCAAGCCGTCCTGGGTTTGATTCCCGAAATGGATGTGAAAAGCTATTGGGTCATCTGCCCAACCTCGTGGGTTTTCCCCAGGTACTTCGGTTTCCTCCCACAGTAAGACCCCTTGTGCACTTTTATCCGGGCCAGCAAGAATAATTTATATAAGTTGGAAAAACTTGCTTCACAAATGTTGTGAATAAATGAAGTTTATCATTAAAGGAATGAAATTTTGCAAATCCAACAACACACCATCATCAGTATTTGTCATTTTATCTTTATTTACAGAGACACACATCAATTAGGATGGTATTATTAAATTTGTAAAATATATTGAAAACCTAAACGAATGTAAATGTTGTCACAACCATGAACTATTAAATAAAAATGTCTACAACATTTATTCAACCTAGGAATGACTATCATGCCTCTATAGATATAAACATTAGGGCTGCCTTGAACAGACTTTCTTTCTCAAATCTTATATACATTATTGCATCAGTTTTGCCTTCAAAGTATATATATTTAAAAAAAAAAAAGAGAGAAATATTCCAGTAAATTGATCCTATGTGCTTTTGTATCTGTTTTTGATTGTGTATTTTAAAATTATAAGTAAACACTTTTATCATTTTGCTTAAGTTGACTGTATCTGCAAGATTTTTTTTCTATGACAAGTTGAAAATATCAACAGCCATCAAAATCACAAGACCAGAAATTGACAAGTAAATTCATCAGCCCACAAAGATATTGCTTCAATACAAGATGATTTGCAAGGAAACAATTAAATGTTTATTAAAATCTACAACCAGGAACCATAAGGATGAAAATTACCACCAACTTCACATAAGCATGTAATGATATTAAACACTATACAGAACACACATGTATACCAGGAATGCATGGAATTCAAACCCATATTTTTTTTCATGTTTAAATTGCTGACAAACTCTTCTATGGTGTATATTTGCACAATAACAAACAATACCAGTACATATTTGATGAAAGAAAGCAATATCTGTTTCTTATGATAAAATCACATCTAAAAGCATAGGACATTAAATGGGTTTAACCTTGCAGTAAGAAATATCAGCGAGAACTGTTCTCCAACATATACTGTTCACCTTCCTTGTATACCCTACCAGTGAGAAGAACTGTTCTCCAACATAAACTGTTCACCTTCCTTGTATACCCTACCAGTGAGAAGAACTGTTCTCCAACATAAACTGTTCACCTACCAAGTATACCCTACCAGTGAAAACTATCCTGAAATATACACTGAACACATTCCCGATAAATCTATAGCTAGACTTCTGACCTGTTTTCATGTATATATAGAGTAATAAGAAACCATATATGTAGTGATGGGTATTTTCAAAACCTAAAATGATGTTTCAGAAGTGATAAATGCTTCAATGCTTTAAGTTAAAGACTCATATAGTAAACCATTGGTTGTCCTAACAACAGAGAGAAAAGATTGAATTATGTAGTATAAAAGTACTGAAAGTGCCTCTATGGGCTTCATCTACTCTAGAACCACAGAAAGTTAGAATCAATATCGTAGAATTTCAACAACCTTAATAGGATTGAATTTGATTCTTATTCCTAAAGTAGCTCAGATTTAATAATTAAAAAGTCATAATGCTGTATAATCTACCTTCATTGTAGACTACAACTGTTCCATTTCTCTAGGATAATATCAATGTTACACCTGTATATGCTAGGGTCATATCTATGATGTATGAATGTGTTCATGATGTGACAACAATGATCATGGTGTCTGGCGTTTCCTTGCCGATCTCTGCTTGTCAAATCGTGCTTCCATCTCGTCCAGTACTCTGGGTGTGTATCTCACCACCAGACGAGCCATACCTGACAACAAAACACTAATGTATTACATGTACTCAAGATCACTAGAAGAAGTCATCTGTATGATGTATCAATGTCTAAACTGTTAAGTAAAATATATATATATCACTTAACAAGAAATCCTCATTTTTTATTAATTCAAATAAAATTAAATTTATAATTATTAATATCAATTAATATATAAAAAATTCATTACAAAAGTTAATTATGCAGTATGAATACAATGTGACTGTAATTTATTTTAACAAAAAAAAAATATATAAAAATGTAATAAGTAAAACCTTCAGTTAAAGTATTTATAATTCAGTAACACAAGTATTCGATAACAGCAAAAAGATAACAGACCTTTGGCAAGTTTGAGGAGCTCCACAGCCTTCTCATGGTGTTCTCCCTCCACACTCTAAAGACACAACAGTCTCAGTTTACCAAATAATGAAAGTTTCAAATTACCATTAATAAAACCAAAGTCATACCTTGAAATAACTTAACTGATTCCGAAATGTCAAGAACAGATTTCAGTTATAAGTTTTATTTCATATCATCTTGTTGATAATTATATCACAATCACATTTGTTGAAAGTGAACCTGTGTTGACCATTATCACCCTTTTTGATGACTAACACCATCGTTGATACAACTTACAACTCCATTCACAGACAATAACTGGTCCCCACGTTTCAATCCTCCATGTCGGTCAGCTACCCCATCAGGGATAATCCTGGAGATGTAGATAGGAGAATTCTGCTCCTTGCCCCCCATCACATTGAAGCCAAGGCCCTCATCTGTTTTAGGAAGTTCTACAACTCTTGGATGGGAATGACCTTCACTCGCTGCAAAAGCAGCCACTGTGGCCTACCAAAGAACAAATGTATCATGTTATATTTGAAAGTTTCGTCAAGGAAGGAAAACTGACAGCTTTATTTTCATCACACATCATTCTTATAAAAACTCTTCACGAGTCTAAAAAAATACAGTAATTATGTCTAAAACATCAGTGTTTCTGATGATATTAATATTAATAGTCTTACTCTGTCTGTGACCATGATTAAAAAAATCAGGGTCTTTTTTATTGAATGTCATACCTTAGCTGTAGCATTGGCTCGCACTTCAGCATTACCAGTTATGTCGACAGTTTCATACACATGTTCATATACCTCACGAACGGCATTGAGAAAGTCACTCTGTAGGACCTTCTGAAGGGCTGCTAGCTTCTGAGGGGGAACTTTGCCACCTAGGACAACCAATCAACATTAAATTGGTATGACAGAACAGCTATTACATTTAAAGATTTTACACTAAACATGATAAAGACTAGTACAATGTATTCGTCTTACCATTAATCTTTTACTATCTGTTCTGGAAATTGGGACTGTTTATGGCATAATATGCGCTAAATATATCATAGATATGTCTTTCAAAGACAAATTCTGTATAATCAGTTTTGTTGGCTACATTGCTGAATTGTAGGCGTTTATATATATGGTATACATACTTTTCTGCAAAGCATCCAACAAGTCTACAGCCCGATTGATATCTGAAAAAAGTAATTTCTTGAACACATTTCATATTTAAAATTTTGAACATCGCGTATAACAGAGTGTAGGAATGCCTAGGTTCGATGTTTCACAGCCTATTTAATATATTTGTAGCTTTGACTGACATGATAACAACACAGTGAAAGACACAATACACAGGCGTCTAACGTTTAACAGACAGTTGTGCACTTTCGAAAATTCACAAATTTAAACCAACTCATACATTCTGATCGAAAGGGAGGGGTCGGTACCAGAAAATCTCGGAAATAATTACGATGTTTTGAGCCATCTCCATTTCCTGTACCGTTTATTCCAAAGATATGCAAAGGCTACACATTTTGCGTCAGATAAGTTAAACCAAATCAATTCCAGAAACAGTCAACTTATGAATTTACCTTTTTCCAAGTGTAAAGGCTCTGCTACCGACGCCATATTGATGATCTCACAATACTTCCGGGTTTTCTATAAGAGTGATCTCCCCTGCGTCACTTTTTCCGCATACATAAGGGACGTAACTCTTAAAACAATACAGGCATCCGCAGCCGAATCTGTTTTTTTTTTTTTTTTTTAATGATAATATTAGTCTTATGTGTCAGGTATTCTAATTTGTCTATTGCTCGTTGTTTATTTATTATGTCTGTAGCATTTATCTAATATTTTCTTGTTTAGTTAAACAATGTTATATTCAATAATTCACATAAATACGTTTGGGATGCGAAATCAAGTCTGAATTGATATAAGTTTCCATGTACATTATAGTATAATTAGTTTAATTAAGGAAACACTGCTAACTACATAACTGGTAAATTGAGAACCCTGTTAGAGACCCTTCTGGTTAAATAAGACCCTAGTAGACACTGTACATGTGTCATATGTACTTAAGGGAGACCGTGATAGAGATGAAGCTAGTGAATATGAACCTTAATGAAAATCCTGTTAGTGAATAGAAACCCCAGTAAACATTCTGTTAGTGAATAGAAACCCCAGTAAACATTCTGTTAGTGAATAGAAACCCCAGTAAACATTCTGTTAGTGAATAGAAACCCCAGTAAACATTCTGTTAGTTAATAGAAACCCGAGTAAACATTCTGTTAGTGAATAGAAACCCCAGTAAACATTATGTTAGTGAATAGAAACCCCAGTAAACATTCTGTTAGTGAATAGAAACCCCAGTAAACATTCTGTTAGTAAATGGGAAACCTAATAAAGACATTGCTAGTTGATAGGAACCTTAGTAAATACCCTGCTAGTCAAGAGAAACCCTAGTAATGAACCCTGCTAGTGAATAGGAACTCAAGTAAATACCCTGCTAATCAAGAGGAACCTTAGTAAAGATCCGGCTAGTGAAGAGAGATCCTGGTAGACACTTTGCTAGTCAAAGGTGACACTGATAGACACCCAAAGTGTCAAGGGAAACAATTGAAAAAAAAACTTTACATAGTTAGTGAATAGAGATAATTGTCATCATGTAAACATTATGTAGTAAATAGACAACCAGTAAACATTCTGTTAGTGAATGAAACCCCAGTAAACATCCATAGAGAAGAGGTTTAGGGAACCATTAGAGTTGGTAATTAAAGATGACCCCAGTAAACATTATGTTAGTGAATAGATAAACCCCAGTAAATCCTGATAGATTATGTTAGGGATAATAGAGATCCTAGGAGGCCTAGGGATATCCTTAGAGACCCTGCTTAGATACCCTGATAGAGAATGGGAGGCCTAGTAAATACCCTGATAGAGACCATGGGAGGCCTAGGGATATCCTGATAGAGACCCTGGGAGGCTTAGGGATACCCTGATAGAGACCCTGGGAGGATTAGGGATACCCTGATAGAGACCATGGGAGGCCTAGGGATACCCTGATAGAGACCATGGGAGGCCTAGGGATACCCTGATGGAGACCCTGGGAGGATTAGGAATATCCTGATAGAGACCCTGGGAGGCTTAGGGATACCCTGATAGAGACCCTGGGAGGATTAGGGATATCCTGATAGAGATCCTAGGAGGCCTAGTGATATCCTGATAGAGACCCTGGGAGGCTTAGGGATACCCTGATAGAGACCATGGGAGGCCTAGGGATACCCTGATGGAGACCCTGGGAGGCCTAGGGATACCCTGATGGAGACCCTGGGATTAGGGATACCCTGATAGAGACCATGGGAGGCTTAGGGATACCCTGATAGAGACCCTGGGAGGCATAGGGATACCCTTATAGAGACCCTGGGAGGACTAGGAATACCCTGATAGAGACCATGGGAGGCCTAGGGATACCCTGATAGAGACATGGGAGGCCTAGGGATACCCTGATGGAGACCCTGGGAGGCCTAGGGATACCCTGATGGAGACCCTGGGAGGCTTAGGGATACCCTGATAGAGACCATGGGAGGCTTAGGGATACCCTGATAGAGACCCTGGGAGGCCTAGGGATACCCTGATAGAGACCATGGGAGGCTTAGGGATACCCTGATAGAGACCCTGGTAATTAAAGATGATGGCGATAGAGACCCTGGGAGGATTAGGAATATCCTGATAGAGACCCTGGGAGGATTAGGGATATCCTGATAGAGACCCTGGGAGGATTAGGGATATCCTGATAGAGATCCTAGGAGGCCTAGGGATATCCTGATAGAGACCCTGGGAGGCTTAGGGATACCCTGATAGAGACCATGGGAGGCTTAGGGATACCCTGATAGAGACCCTGGGAGGCTTAGGGATACCCTGATAGAGACCATGGGAGGCCTAGGGATACCCTGATAGAGACCCTGGGAGGCTTAGGGATACCCTTATAGAGACCCTGGGAGGCCTAGGAATACCCTGATAGAGACCATGGGAGGCCTAGGGATACCCTGATAGAGACCATGGGAGGCCTAGGGATACCCTGATGGAGACCCTGGGAGGCCTAGGGATACCCTGATGGAGACCCTGGGAGGCTTAGGGATACCCTGATAGAGACCATGGGAGGCTTAGGGATACCCTGATAGAGACCCTGGGAGGCCTAGGGATACCCTGATAGAGACCATGGGAGGCTTAGGGATACCCTGATAGAGACCCTGGTAATTAAAGATGATGGCGATAGAGACCCTGGGAGGATTAGGAATATCCTGATAGAGACCCTGGGAGGATTAGGGATATCCTGATAGAGACCCTGGGAGGATTAGGGATATCCTGATAGAGATCCTAGGAGGCCTAGGGATATCCTGATAGAGACCCTGGGAGGCTTAGGGATACCCTGATAGAGACCATGGGAGGCTTAGGGATACCCTGATAGAGACCCTGGGAGGCTTAGGGATACCCTGATAGAGACCATGGGAGGCCTAGGGATACCCTGATAGAGACCATGGGAGGCCTAGGGATACCCTGATGGAGACCCCGGGAGGATTAGGAATATCCTGATATAGACCCTGGGAGGCTTAGGGATACCCTGATAGAGACCCTGGGAGGATTAGGGATATCCTGATAGAGATCATAGGAGGCCTAATGATATCCTGATAGAGACCTTGGGGGGCTTAGGGATACCCTGATAGAGACCATGGGAGGCCTAGGGATACCCTGATGGAGACCCTGGGAGGCCTAGGGATACCCTGATAGAGACCCCGGGAGGTTTAGGGATACCCTGATAGAGACCTCGGAAGGTTTAGGGATACCCTGATAGAGACAATGGGAGGCCTAGGGATACCCTGATGGAGGCCCTGGGAGGCCTAGGGATACCCTGATAGAGACCATGGGAGGCCTAGGGATACCCTGATAGAGACCCTGGGAGGCTTAGGGATACCCTGATAGAGACCCTGGGAGGCCTAGGGATACCCTGATAGAGATCCTGGTAATTAAGGATGATGCTGTAGAGACCTCGGGAGGCCTAGGGATACCCTGATAGAGACCTCGGGAGGCCTAGGGATACCCTGATAGAGATCCTGGTAATTAAGGATGATGCTGTAGAGACCTCGGGAGGCCTAGGGATACCCTGATAGAGACCCTGGGAGGCCTAGGGATACCCTGATAGAGACCTCGGGAGGCCTAGGGATACCCTAGTAGAGATCGAAGCTTTTTCATTACCCTGATATGGACCATGGTAACTATGTGACATCCTGAAAGAGACCCTGCGAGGTTTTAGTATACCCTGACAGAGTCGACCCTGCTGATCAATTCGTGGATGAAGTCACACCAAAAAGTCAGTGTTGTACTGTGTGTTATGGCACTACGTTATTGTATTGTATATATATATGTGTGTGTTACAGATGACGTACATGTCTTTGAGGAGATCCAAACGGTTGTTAACTACAATATATGTAATGAAAACAGGTCCATCAGGCTGTTTTCCTTCGTTACCTGGAGAGGGTGACCAAGACAACATAGCTTTGGTAACAGTTCCATCAAGCATCTCCCTTGATTTTGGTTGACTCAGCACCACAGCGATACTATAATATGACTGAATATTAAATAACATTCCCGGGCAAAACTGCCCCCTTTCTCCGACCCCACCCCACCCGCCGGGCCAGGTACCGTGATATGTAATTAGATATAAAAAAACGTGTTAAAGCCATATCATCTCTCACCGTTTATTTTTTAACGGTAAAGATGAAATAACTTGCTACTAAAATATTTATCTAAGCTGTATGTGAAATCATTGATCAGGATTTTTCTGACATCTCTTCTTTCTTTTTTTATGAAAGAAAAGATAATCAGCTAAATAGTTAGGATGTTTGCTAGCACCCTCCACACCCAATAAAAAACAAATACACTTTTCAAAGGAATTGAAAAAAACACGAACCTGTATGAATGATATGGTCGTATTTTCAGGGTTTTAAAACCTATACATATTTGTAGTGTTAGGGGTATGTCTGGATGCCTCTTGTCCTGACAGCATTACGTTGTGCTGGTAAGTATTATACACTGGTTTGTTAAGTAGCTCTCATTCTTTGTCATTGGACACTACTGGAGTGAAATGAACAGTTATCAACATAATATTTATATCAGCTAGTGTGATAACTTACATGTAAGTGTAGATATATAGTACATTTCTTATTATTTTGTATAACACAATACCTTGATTACTTATTGATATATACGAGAAAACAAACATGGCCCTACAGACCTTTCGTCAATCGGGTAGTTTTCATAAACAATTTCAAAATATTTTCCCAAGCGGGGAATCGAACCGCGGAATCCTAACCACTAGACCACTTGGGACATGGCAGTACTGGGTGGTTAATTTGGCGCCTCTCCAAAGCTACGCCTATATATATATATAATTATCGCAGCTCTGCTCATTGTAGTCGTGATCTACCAGTTACTTCCCCTACGCTAGGGTATGTGTACCATTATCACTTAAAACACACGAGAACTTCAAAATTATACAGAACTTCGGTACTTAGGGCTACCCCGGCAGTGACCCTCATAGTTACGGAATATCCTGATAGAGACCCTAGTAATTATGAATATCCTGATAA